ATAATGCACCGCATTCTCCTAGTCACAATTACTTTGTAGGCGACACCTGGAAGATCAAGGTGCTGCAGAACACCACAGTTATTGCGAACGTGAAACATTCCATGTTCGTCACAGAAGCTATGTTGAAGTTTGCGCAGAGCAACCAGAGCATAGTCATATCTTTGGACTGTGAAGGTATCAATTTGGGCTTGAAGGGTGACATCACACTCATCGAGATAGGGACAACTCGTGGAGAAGCTTTCATTTTCGATGTGCGCACCTGCCCTGAAATCATCAGCGACGGTGGCCTGAAGACATTGTTAGAGCATGAAAATGTCATCAAAGTCATACATGATTGCCGCAATAATGCTGCGAATTTATACCTGCAATTTGGTATACTCTTGCGCAATGTCTTCGACACACAGGTGAGTAAAATTTGTGCTTGAAGCTGGTTATTTGAATTTCGCATTAATTTTTATAGGCAGCGTATGCTACTGTGCAATACCAAGAGACAGGCAAACAGGTATATAAGGCGAAATACATCTCATTGAACACACTCTGCGAACAGTATAACGCTCCTATCAATCCAATCAAGGAACAACTCAAGCAGATTTACCGTCGCGATCAAAAGTATTGGTCCAAGCGACCACTATCACGTGATATGCTACTCTATGCGGCCGGGGATGTGTTGGTATTAATAAACGATCAGCTCTATGGCAACCTAGCAAGGTATGCATCATGAATTCACATCGATTGTTGGTATTCTAATACATAAAACTTTCATATTATAGACAAATAAAACCGGAGAATCGACAGCTTTTCTCTGAGCTCTGCACTGAACAAATACTAATACAAATCAAACCCAATGAGGTGAAAATACGGAAGAAACAACGTAAAGTAACCACCGAGGTCGCTGATCTCAAACAGAAACTGGAGCAGTCTAACAAAAGTATAGTGCTGTCGAATCGTGAAATTCGCTTATTACGGTAAGCTTATGGAGTCTAGTGAGACGTATGCAGTGGAATTTACATATTTATTTGTCTTATATTTGTGTTCACTATGCAGCTACATGGACCTGACCGAGGAAGAAAAAGACCGTCTCAAGCGTAACAACAACAAAGTCGCAAAGAAATTTGAAAAAATGGAATCGGCAGGCAATCAAACTAGGTAAACTATCTTAGTTGAATGAAACGAAATTTAATATTTTTTTTAATGTTTTTTTTTTGCAGAGATCAAAGTGATTCAGAGGATGAGCAAGAACCTATTGAAAACGATAACTTCCCAAGCCTCGACTCAGTGCCATCAGATAACTCATTAACCGGTACATTTTCACCACGCTTCAACTCTGAGCCACCCAGCTTGGCAGAGTCAATGCAAATGATGGATGAAATTTTGTCCGATCAATCCATGGACCGTGTGGTGAAATTGGATAAACTAGAAGCGATATTGTCAGCTCTTACTCAAATGCCAAATGATCAAGTAGGTGTTAGGGATATGAAGTGACGACAGGGTTATCCTCACTTTTCTATGTAACTTTAACTCAGACTGAATCGAATTTGCATATAAAGAATGATTAGGTTTTTAAGTTAATATCTCATTTTATTTTCGATACTTTCACATAAATAAATTGACTTTAAATTTCGTTAATTTTTTCGTTATCTATCACAGATTATAACTTCCAATGCGATACAGGATCAATTGGGCTCCAGCATATCAGCTACCGACAGCGTGCAAATTATACGCGAAAAAGTCAAAAAGTGGGTATTATTTTGAAATGTATTTCGCAAGATTACGTAAACAATATTATGTTGCTAATTTTAGTGCTAAAAACTGCAGTTGCAATTGTGAACGAAGCATAACACCAACAATGCGCATAGGTAACAATGAAAAGAGGGCTGTGAAATTGGTCGACGCTGCATCTCAAACTCTTAGCACTGGCGATATCGTCATAACAAAGATATTCTTCCAAGACGAACAAGGGAAACCGAAGGAGAAAGTGTTGACCTCATCCCCAAAACGTATCACGGCATCACCGATAGCACAGTCAACAGCGACGGCCACATCGTCATCGTGAAGTAAGAACTTCATATGAAAATGAGCTGAGCTTTGTTTTACATAAATCATTTGTTAAATATAAAAATGGCAGCTATGTAAAATAAGTAGTAAAACTATTTTGGGCAATAACTAAGTGAACATATCAAAATTAAAGCAGTCAATTCAACGACATGAAAATGTACACAAACCTACTTGCAATATATACATATACACACAGTACATACGTATACGTTAAAGTTTTATACTAAATGCTAAGTGAAAATTTTGCAAACATTCATCTACTACTTGTGTGTATGTATTTATTTTTTATTATATATTTTATTAGAACTTGTATTATCTTATCAATTTTATATTTCCCCTTTTTTAATTTAAAGCGTAAAATGCGCTAATGTTCATTTAACCGATTTATTCTTTAAGTTTGCTGAATTTCCCAAAGGCAATCCATTGGTATATAAGTATGTAATCACCTCAATTCAAAGACAAGTTGAGCCATACTTAAAAATTGCTATTTCGTGTGCTTCTGAGATGAGTAAAAGCTAAGATTTGTAGGCTTAGATCCGTTTGTAAATACCTATGCTCATAAATATACAGTGTTTGCCCGTATTATGCGTAGACCAAGTAATTAACTTATCTTTATTATAATGCAAACAATTTAGCTAAAATAATATGTAATAAATAAAATATATAAACCAGCAATGTTTGGTGAAGGAATAACGAAACTGAAGAGTAACACTATTGTGCTATTAAGCATTTGTTTTTCCAATATAACACAATTATAAAATACAAGCGTATTTTATTAATCCAAAGTAGTGATCAACAAGGTAAGCGACATACATACATGTATGTATGTTTGCACATATCCGCAATTTTTGCGTCTTTTTAACACAGTTCTCATAAACGAAATATGAGAATTTGATGTTGATGGATAGATGCGATAGCATAAATATAAACGAAAATGTGTTGATATAATTATAATATAATTAAAGGAAAATATACTTTATAAGTTTTAGGTTCTTCGAAAAAGCAGCACCTTCGCGATATACATATATTCGAAACGATGTATTACTTATTTTAGAAGTATTGAAGAAACATTTCGAGCTATGGAATTTTATGTGGTGACATGTGTTCGAAATTACTTCAAACGCTATTGTAACTCCTATGCAAGTTGTGCACTACAAGCAATTTGAAAAGCATAAGGATTTGTTATCTACATAAATAATTGTTGCACTTGCTTTTAATTTTGTTATATTATAAATTAACTAAACTTTCTTGGCAATCACATGCATGTGCAAAATTTTATGCTATTGTAAACATTGAAATACGTGTATGTAAGTTTTTAGTGTAGCAACAACAAAATAACTAATATATCACATGATAACTGTATATGCGCATATGTATACTTTGTAAACACTACTATATTCAAATCAAGCTTGATTTGGTTATGCGACAAAATGAAATTTTGCAACTATTTATGAGTCGGATAAAGTAAATCCAAAATTATACACATTAGTGCTTTGCTAACATCCGAACTCTAATAAGAATTTAATTATATTTTTTGTTAGTTTTATTACTAAAAAGTTTATGGAAAGGCTAATTTACGTAATCGCTTTCTTCATAGCCATATTAACTGAGTTACTATAAAAAATGAATTATTGTTACAGATTTAAATTCGAAGCATTTGCAACAAAACAAATTGGAAAAAATCTATATACATATACATACTATATACAAAATAATAAAATATAAAATATATTAACGTTGCAATTATTGTTATATAATGCTGATATTTAATCTTGTATTACAGGCATACTTATTATTAAAGTACGCATGCAAAATTAATAACATGCTTATGTATAATATAATATGCTTATTTGATTTTGGCTCAACGAGTTGTAATCTACGTATACTAATGTATATGTATAAATATTGTATTTAAGGCTTAAGCGATTTTTTCTCAAAAACAAGTACATATGTATGCATGTCATGCCGCCATATGTATGTACTTCATTTTTACCTATACTATATACAAATATTTAAACGAACCCATGGACGAAATGTGTGAATTAAATGTATACATATGATGAGATGACATTGGATAACATTTAAAAAGTTTAATAATACTTACACTTATAGTAAAAACAAAATAAAAACAAAAAAACATGTGCTTTGTTTTGATTATACATATACGAGCGGATGGTACGGAAGATGAACTCAAGCTCCATTATTCTTTCAGTTTTGTTTTATGAAACGTTTGTAATTTTCTCTTCTTCTCAGTATTATTTTGGTCTTACTATTTAGTCGATTATTTCTGCCGACCTTAATAACGTAATGCGTTCACCTATCGAATTCAGGAATTCAACTTCCGAACAACTATACTCTTTTTTGATATTACGAACTACAATCGATTGGAGTTTCATTGATGTTGCAAATCTAAAAACTTGGAAGATAATTAAAGAGCAAAAAGATTTAAACGACAAATGAAAACACAACAGTTGTGTGAACTTTATGAAATAAAATTGGTTAGTTCTGATTTATACTACAATGACGAGAATGTGCGAAAAAGACTTACTCATTATTCAATTGAGTTTTGAGAAGTTTTTTTTTCGGTTCAAGTTGTTATCGGTGATATCGAATTTCATAATTTCAACTAAAATGTAGTTGAGTTGTTAACTATAATACAAACATAATTACAATTGTCGAATGGAATAATTTTTTGCAACAAATTTTTCTTCACAGTCGATAATAATCATTTTTGTTGTTTCTGTAGCGGCTGAATTCTGCAGAGTCGACAGTCTTTGGCGGGAAAAAATCCGGGTCCGTTCCGGTAACGTAGACCCGACTACTTGTATCGTGCGAACGGTATAATAATCATTGTAATTAGACACTGTATTATTTTTAATTCACTTAGAATTTCCGGTATTTTTCTCATTTTATATTCTTATTGTACAAGTAAAACTTCAAGATAGATTTGTTAAAATCACTTATGCTTTTTTAATTTTCTTTTTAAAAAATAACAAGTAACTTTATAAACTTTACAAAAGGAAATGAATACGGCATCAGCCGTGCCATGCTTATGGTCATAAGCATCGTCAGCTTGATCATAACAATAATGTATGTACATATATTATGCAAATGGGTTTTCTTTAATAATCGTATATTTATCATAAGTATAAAAAACTATTAACAACACAATTAGGCATTACAATATTCTTTGTTTACCAATTGGAACATTCTTACGCATACAAAGATACAAATCAACGTTTCATTTTTTCGCTACGTCTGATTTTTATATCAATTAAAATTTAATTCACAGAATACGTCATTGTAAAATATTACTAAAATAACAATTTCTCCACTTTCTTCTTACAAAACACAGTTACGAATTTTTTAATTGTTGTATACCTTTCAAAAATTTTTAAAATATATTCTCTATATCTAAATAATGATTTTTACGTTGATAATGACAGTCCTTTATTTTGTTTTTACTCTAAAAATCTTTTGGGTAATTTTATGATTTCTTTCTATGTAGTTCGCCTTAAACTAATTGCTTCTTATTTGTAAGTGTATCTATGTGGGCATATGTTTATATTTGCATATGTATGGGTGTTTCAAAGGGCTAAACGTTTTTCATTATTTTCGTCGCAGTGACGCAGTGACGTGTTTACATTTTAATCTTGACCACAGACTAATTGTGTTGGTGTTCCCTTTTCTCACATATATTTACCGAAATTTAATTGGCTTAATTTTTGGTTAAACATTCGTTTTCCTTTATATAGTATTAGTGCATTCTTTGTGTTTACTGCATATAAAATTTCCATGTATATGTATATATTTATGTATGCGTATGTGTATATTTATATATTTAATCGTACGAAATACATATGTTTATTTTCCTCTCTCTATGAATGTGTGTACATATGTGTTTGTATGCTTAATCACAATGAGATCATGTCATGTAGCGCATTATTTCACGCAACGCGTAAAGCAGTTCGGCCTGGTTGCGGGCCTCCATTATCATCAGATTTACATGGACCTGCAGATAGAGAAAACTTTCATTCAAATATACTGTCAACATAATTATATGTAATATAATTTCATCGAAAAGGAAAAGATGACATACATATTTTATACAAATATGCAAGGTGTGTTAAACAAATTAGATTAATAATATTGTAATAAGTAACCTGTAGATATTCATATTTATGACAACGGTTTCTTCAACCCTCAAAGTACTTTCGCAAGCTCTAAAGTCTTGCATTCCAGTAATGTAGCAAAAAACCACAAAGAGTTGGACCCGTGAAATCACTTCTTATCAAATACTTAGATACGAACAACAATGAAAGAAATCTTACTTGAAAAGGCACTTGCCACTTAACACCTCTTTTGACCAGTCAATAATACAATAGAATGAATTCAATTAAGGATTTAGTACTTATACTTCCTCAACGCCTTCAGTTATTCTGTCTTGCTGTGGGGTAAGGGGTACACCGCTAATAATCTTAATTTTCTGTAAGAACTATTTTGTATTACGAAGTACATAAAATATAAATGTGCCTAAACGGCTTCTTTTGAAAAGTTTATTGTTTGAATTGCTTCAGTTTTCCATCGTGAACTTTAGACCAACCGTACAATATGTAGGAAAATTTGTTTATGACCCTCCTGAATCGAGAAGTACTTGTACATACAAAATTGTTTAATCAAGCAGGGACAATTGAGATTTTTAAAGGGAAGTTAGTTTTACAGAAGGTCGGCAGAAATATGCAGTCAATAACCCTACGAAAATGTTTATTGTGCATCTCTTACGAGAGCAGTCTAATGTACTTATCGCAATTTTTATTAACGGAAAGCATAACAAGATATGTCCACAGTCATCCATGAATTCCGATCGGGAATGAACGACACTAGTGCACTCACGACAACCACGAGTTTAGAAAAATATTATGATTTGAAATACATTTTGAATACTTTCTCACCTTTTCACTGTCTTGCAGTTCGACGAGTATACTGTCATAGTCCTTTGTGGTAATCCTTTCTGGGAAGCAGCAGGCTGTTTTTATGAACATTTTCAAAGGACGGTCCAATAACTGTTAATTAGTTTATAAAAAAAAAAATAATACAATCCAAAATTAACGTGAAAAAACGTATACGAATATAAAGTACTACGATAAATAAACAGTTACATAATAGTAGTTACATGCGTTAATTTTGAACTTTCTTTCGGTGCAATCACGAATTTATATTTATTTGTGTGCGTGTGTTTGGTGGGTATTGAAACGGATCGAAATTTTGCTAAACTCTAAATTACCCATTTGAAATACAATGACATCAATTTTTCAAAAAGCAGTTAAATTCAATTATTAACTCATTATTTATACAAACTCTTATTGAATGGCCGCTGTACGCGCGCAATTATAGAGGCGTAATAGGAGTGTAGTTAGTAACATTTTGTACAGACATACATACATACATGAAAATATACAAAGTATCTCGTTAAATACATTAAAAACCAACAGAGTTTGTTTAAATACTTAATCGGTTAAATTCGGATATTTCTCTTGAGTTAATAACTCGCCAATTTCGTTGCAAACAGATTGATTGCAATACCTTTGCACGCGTGTGATGGTATGCAGATGCTCTACCAACACCGTGCAACCAGGCGCTGCACACATACACACATAAAATATTAAAATTGTTGCATTTGTATTGTTGAGCGGAAAAAAAGTTCGGATACACACGTACGCATTTATTCACCTGATTCACTTCACCATAATCGTAATCGTCATGGCGTATGCCGTATATGCACTGAATGTAATTCCATATGGCCCGACGGAATTTCGATGTGTCCACATTGCGGTAGCCACCCATGGTGAAGTACGTCAGATTATAGGCGGCACGAAATTTTTGATCCAAAAGAGTACCTACATCGCTGTACAGACTATGGAGAAGAGTAAAATTTAAGTTAGAGAGAGATAAGAATCTTGATGTTTTCATGCCTTACCCATTTACCAACGAGTAGCCGTGATCGTCCCACGAGTAGTCTTGAACACGAAAGGTGGAGGGTATATTTTCGGCACCACGACGCGCAAAATCCTGATAGGTGAAGGTGGGATCCTCGATATAGTGTGAAATGATAGGTGGTACTTCGATGGGGGCTTCGGGGACAGCAGCAGGCAGTTCGGCGGTTTGCATCTCAACACTTTTAAAACGGTTACTCAGTTCTGCTTCGCTACACTCGTCATGTTTTTGTGAGAGCACTTTCATGCGTTCAACCAGCGCCTCCACCGGGACATTCGGTTGGGGCGAGCCGGAAGCTGTTGTAGATGAAATTCAAAATATGAGCTATGTTCATATGGACAAGCTGTCTTATTTATGCTTACGAGTATGTTTAGCGACGCCATTGCTGTTGGCGCCATATATGGAGATGTCAGTCGGCATAGATGCGCTGCCGCCAATATTTTGCACATTATTATTGTACAACTGATGATTACTATGGTCTAGAACGTTGTTGTTGTTGTTCATTGTTATCTCACTTAGGACAGCCTTTTGTTGTTGTGGTATTTGTTGTTGCAACGGTGGCAGCGGTTGGTTCGTCGACAATTGCTGCTGCGTGGCGGGCAATAGTGCCGGAGCAGTCTTCAATTTTGGACTAGACAGGCCATCTAGTTTTTGTGTGAGACCGCAGGAGAATACAAAGGAGGATAGCGAATGAAAATGCGAGAGCAGAACCATGGCATGCACCACTTCAGACAGCGACCAGCTGTTTTTACCTTTCGTGAGACCCTTCGGGAGAATAACGATAAAGTTACATTGAGAATTATTGCGAGGCATACCCTCATCCGCGTGGTTCCAACTCACCTCAATGTGTTCTTTGCGCAGGAGCCACGGTCGATGGGCTAGTATTTTGTTTATGTCATATATGGCACGTAATTTTGATGGGATATGTTCTAAGCCATTAAGCCACTCGGCCTTGCCGCCCTGACTGATGAACTTCTTCTCATACATTTTCACAAGATACGGGCATTGATGCCGAGCTGCAGCCTAAAAAAAGAGAAAGAACGGTTTATATTTTATTTAATATTAACAATTAAAATTTTGGGTTGGTAAATGCGAAAAGTTCATCGAATCTAAAAAAATCAGTGTATATGTGCATTGTCTGCGAAGTCAACGTGCTTGAGGTGCCTTCTTAAGGTGTGGAGTAAAGTTATGTATAAAACAAGAAAAAACATTAACATCGGCTGAACCTGAGCTATGAAACCTTTCGCATCTGCATTTCTTGTAGCAACTACATACATATGTACATAACTAAATCTGAAAATGTAACCGACTAATGGCTTGCATCAAACGGAAAAAGAGTTTATCTTCAGGAAGAATGCATTCCGTGGGGCGAAAGAGATATTCACGTAATTACTCCTCGTCTTCCTAGAAACCCAAATAGCCATTGCATTACATGTCGGCAATAAATTTTTCGCTGCACTTAAAATGCCGAAAAAAAAAATAACCACGCAAGAATGAGTAAATTACATTTCGAGAACAACAGATGAGCATCACTAAAATGAAAACAAGTATGTATTTCAAGTGCCAAAGAGACGAAGGCAAAGACGTGTGAAGAGCAATCACACAAGAAAATAAACTTTTGCAATTACAACTGATTTATTGTTTGCCGTCGATTATTTGGGTTAATTTGCTGTAAATTCGTACCATCAAACGGATAATTTTTAAGAAATAAAATTCAATTTTTAATGCTAAACTAAATTGGAATGCATGAGTGGGTTTCGTCGTTAAAAATATGTTTGAAAAGCCGCGAGAATTAAAAAACAAAGTACTTGACATATGTGTATACAAATGTATGTATCATGTGTGGTCCTACTGCATTTGCACAGATGCGTGCCTGCTTGGCTGCCCGATCCACTGTGTGTGCGTAACAATATGCAAATGACAGCGAGTGAAACGAATGCACTAATGAAAAGCTAATGCATTTTAGTGCGTTACGCATCGTTAAGAAATTTCGAGGAAAACAATGCATACCGCTGACTCATTCCTACTCGTTAAACACGGTGCTCAAATTCCGATCTATTGGAGATGCCGTTGTATTGTATAAAACAATTTGCTCGTACGAGTAATCGTTTCCTTCAAAATCTACTACTCAATACATCGCGTTACAAAGGAATATATGGAATGTTTTTTATTTCTATTGTTAATTCTTCAAATCATGCTCTGTTGAATATATCTTAGCATTTCATATCTATTCTGATTGATCTACAAATCACTACACATTCTCCTAGAGTCCATATGATAAAATTTACGGTCGATGTTTTGGGTATTTGAACAACAATAAATACTGATTTTTACGCATATATGTATTTTGTTCACTCTTACAAACTAAGAAAAAATGTGTTGTAATCGAACCTAACTCTCCCTTACTTTTTGCATCAAATATGTTTGCATAACTGCCGGTTCTTATAAGATGTAACAAATGTACAGATGAATAATGTTTATTAGTGGATTCCTTTTATTTAGCATTTTATTGCCTGTCCAATTGCGTAATGTAAAACAACAGTCATTTTCTATATAATTACGTCATAAATATATATATATATATATATATATATATATTATATATGTACGTATTTTATATCATCGTTAAGGTCTGAAATTAGATGAGGTTTGATGAGATTCTGCCTCGCTACGGCGGCCACTGCTGCTTGTTTTGCTCTAAATAGCGTTATTGTTTCTTTTCGTACGATTGTCTCTCTTTATATAAAATATATTGTTTATGTACATATATTTTATTAATTCATATAGTTCTTAATTTACTTACTTAAATTGAGTTTGCGCTTACATACACACTTATATGTACATCCATATATAACTGTGTACCTCTGTGTGGTATGTACATAGACATGTTTCGTTGCCAAGTTCCTCATTAAAATGCAAGAATAAAAATGTGAATAACATGTTAGATCAGTCATAATTTTTAGTGCGTTTTCTATTCACACTCGAATATTTAAAATCGAATTGGTTAATTTACTTAGCACTGCAATGAACCACTGTGATGGTTCTTAATGAACAGAAGTATTACAAACAATTATTTACACATACATGTGTATGTTGTTTTTATTTTTTTGTTAGATAAAAGTTACTCGGGCTACTTGATATATATTATAAATAATAAGCCATAAAAGAATTTCTTTGTTCTGTGATCGCCAAGGCAATAAATAGAACCGATCACACGTACGTTCGGTATTCCGGTTTGTGTGAAATGCTCCAGTTATAGCGAATAACGCATGATAGGCAAATTCTGTGCGTTAGCTTTGGTTAGAGAGATATGACGACGTTTGAGAGAAGATAAACATTTCAAAATTAATTTTAGGCCATCAACATCCAATAGCCAGACTTACAGTTCAATGAGTAATTATCGGAACAGCTTGCAAACTGTGGTTACTTATACGCACTGTCATACAATTTACCAAGGCAGTGTGTTGTGTCCATACATATCCTATTTATGGAATGCTTATATCTAATTATTACATCATTTAACAAATATTATTTTTTGCATATGATTCGTTGCATGTTTATCATCACCTTTTTCAAAAAATTATTCCCGAAATATTTTTTTGTTTTTCAGTTGTTTTAAAACAGATTTAGTTGGAATTTGTACAAAATTAAAACTAATAGACGTGTGGATGTGTGTATATGCATATAGCTAAATGAAGATGCATCTGTGCATAAACAACAGCCAAAATTGTAGCCAAGCAGTCTATACGACAAAAATTTGCATTCGAACAAAGAAAAATAAACAGGCTACATATTTGCCTGCTGTAAATGTTGCTCTGCTTTCTGTGCCAAATTTATTTTGCTTTGTTTTCATTGCTGGTGCAGTGTGTGAGTAAGTAAAAGTAGCAAGCAGCAGCACGGTTTATTCATACATGTTGACACTGTGGCTGACATGCCAAATAGCTGAAATGCACAAATGAATACTCAGCGCATGAAATAAAAAATAAAAAATACAACCGCTGTTGTTGTGAGCTGTCAAGTTGATTGTTTTTATTTGCTTCGTGTTTGGCTTTTTCTGTTGTTTGTTTTGAAAGCTATTTCGGCTGGCTCTAACCGTTGCTCTGCTCGTGTCGCTCATTGCAGCTATGCGAGCGTTGTCGGCAGCGTGGAGCGTTTTTCGGATTAAATCTTTATATTTGTTATTTCTGCTGTTGTTGTTGATTGCATTAGTTACTCGATGGGCTGCTGTTGTTCGCCAGTTAGAGCAGATGTTTTATGTTTACAATTCAGCAACACGAGTAGTCAAAAAACCAAAATAACAGCATCTAATGCGCTAAGTTACGTTTTCTGCCTAAGCTTAAAATGTTTTTCTATTCACAAAAACAAAACACTATTCATGTATCTACATATATACAAGTATGAATGCCTTTAAAAAGGCACATACGAATGGAAAAGTTAATCTAAGAGTGAGTGGCATAAAAGAAACTACTGGCTGAAGTCGAACTAGCCAGGAAAATATCAGTTTTATATCATCTCTTTGTTGCACTCCATATCTTTGTGTTAGCTTAAAGTTAAGGTTGGTTTTTGGAACATTTGAAGTTGATTGGCTAAATATTTTCGGCGCATATGGAACTAGTATGAGACTGTCGACTAGTTGATTTCACTGCGGGGTAAGCTTATGAATTTGTGTGAGAGTGTGTGTAAATAGGTTAGTGCAGCGCAGCTGTAGAGTCGCCGCTACTTTTAATGTTGATTTCTAAATTATCGCAAGTTTCTATAAATAAATTTATATACGCACTTATGTATGTACTTATACACACTTACTTATGTGTAGCAACAACAGATGTACTACTAGTGCCCATATGTGTGCATGAGTAAATGGGGCCAATGAATGGGTGGGCACAGCAAATATTTTATTTTTGTTATCAGAATAAACTTTTCGAAATATCGTGTAAAAAAATTAAATATGAGTAACGCCAACCATAATCAAAAGAACTGTGAAGTATGAATAAAAGTTCCAGTGACAAAAAGAACCCTCATCCGGTTAAAACATATGACAATATGTCTTAGAAGTTCATTTGTCTTAATTAGTAAAATATTTAGGGTTGTTTTCTCGATCGCCTGCTAATGTATTTAAGAATTTTTGACGACATGAAAAATTTGAAAATTAAGCTTCTGTTAACTATTTGCTATTATAGTCAATAGGTGGCAGCACCGCAAAGAAAATGCTATAAGTCGTCTACTCAAAAGTAAAACTGTAAATATGTTCTGAATTTGAGAAAAATGGGATTTTAGAAAAGGAGGTAATTACTGCCACAGATGGAGATTGTACTCACGGACTTTTTTGATTGTTCCCATGAATTTTGTAACTACAGACTTTTTTTCTTCTGAATTAGAATGAATTTCTTCAAAGCTTCCTCCTCACCACTCCAGTAAGTGTAGTTTTATATTTTTGTATGGACTTATATGTATGTACTTGTATATATGTATGGTAATCGTAAGCATGCACTTATTCGCTAAATACACTATTTTTGATGTTTACGAACTTGTGTGAACAGTAGAAAACTATAAAAAAAAATACAACAAACACAGGAAGATAGACGAACTTAACAGTGAACGACCTCTAAGACAATTGACGACGCTGTTAGTATTGCTTGTTTGCTTGATTAACTGACTGGGATAGTTATTTGCTGTGATGGAGGCCGCTGCTGTTGCCAGCTGTTTTAAGTAATTGTAGGCAATAAAATAACTCAAATAAAAAAGCAATCGAATAAATACAAAAATAAAGAAAAAAGCTAAAAACAATAAAACAGTTTATGTATGTACATAAGTAGTTACAGTAACTAAAGTGATAACAAGTGTGCTCGTTTTAAAAACAGTGGGGGAGTATGCGAATGGCTATATACATATTAGTTCATACATAGGTAAATTTACACCAACCATGTAGTAAAAAAACTTGCAAAATTAAAAAGTTTTTGCTAGAATACAAGTTAAACTAGTCATACATATATTCGTTTTAAATAGTTTAAGAATAAGATATTCTGTAGACGAAGGAATAGTGCAAAAACACAATGAAATACGACTTTTCACAAGAGTGAAGTAGTTACTTGAGATCATGTCTTATCAGTATTGTGTTTGCTGTTTCGCCTTTTGTGCTGTTGCCTTGCTTATCTTTACTAAATTTACATTATAGTTGTAATTATTTGCACTGTTTTTTGATACTTCACAGTGGAGTCAGCTGCAAGCGCTGGGGAAATGATATTGTTGTGATGTTTTTATCTTTGCAGCAACAATCTTAATGCTAGTACGCAGTAATACGAGCACATACATATGTATGTACAAGTGTTTTTACAGAAGTTATATTGATAATATTATATATTTCGCCTCAATTAATTGCAGATACGATAGAAATATTCACTTGTTGTTGATAAATCATTCAAATGTGCAACCACAAGCCATAACTCAATTATATACTTAAGTATTGTCACATTGATGGATGAAGCGGTCTAGCTCAAGATCAGCCACATCGTTCAGTATATTAAGGCTATGCACAATTATACCGATTTGTGTAGGTGCGCATTACCTACGCAAACCACAGAATATAAATTTCTTCATTAATATACCCCTCTACACAGAGCGTAAAGTTGTATTTACAGTGCTGCTAAAAAAGTTAGCGGCTCTGAGTATATACTATGACTTCAGGAATCATAGAATAAAATAACCAATTGCATGTCTGCGTTAGAAAAAAACTTTTCCACATAGGAACTTGATTTTGATCATTCACTTTGTACGTCAGCTATGTGCTATAGTGGGCCGATATGAGCAGCTTCCTGGGAAGAAAAAGACTGAAGGACTAGTTCGCGTGTATCCAGACAGACGGACATACGGACATGGCTAAATCTACTCAGCTTGTCACGTTGCTCATTTATAAATATACTTATTTTACTCTGTTTAAGGTATAAAGATGAAGTGATATGATGACGGCAACTGCTACATATATGTATACATATATATATTTTCACAAAAATTCTTAAGAAACAAAATACACCTAGTTCAATATCCGTACGAGACATTTGCGAAAGTATAAACCGTTTCAATTTGTCGTAATCGTTTCTCTCTCTCTCTTCAAACATAAAAGTTTGTACTTGTAGTAGAACTAGAAGGCGAATCATGCCTTACAAAGCTGCCAGCACATAACACCTAAGAATGACAGCCTGAAGAACCTACATAAGTATGTGTAAATGCACATTTTTCCACTATTGCATATATCCGCTTATCGCTGTCTGTCTACACATGTGTTTGTCGAGTAAACAAACTAACGAGGCACAGTTCACTGACTCGCGTATCTATGAGCATGCGAATGCTATTGCTTCCATATTGCCAAACAAAAAATGTAGAGCCCCAAAAAGCGTAATAATATTTGTTTTTTCTCCATTTGTTTCGAAAACTCCATTAATACTCGAGTTTTTAGGGTAAAGACTTTATTGAAAGTGTGCGTGGTGATGGTCACATTCATGGTATTCATGATATGCGCCAATTTTGGTTCATATCGGCTGTAAGTTATGTAGCCCTGCTGTATCACTGTGTAAAATTCGACGTTATTCTCCAGACAGTTACCATACTTTTAATAGTTAAGTTCACTGGGAGAATTTTCCTTGCAAAGAATGTAATGTTAAAAAAGGTTAGCGGCCAATTTGACTGACTGGCTTTCGTAGTTTTTGAGATATGTACAATAAACATATTAGAGAGCGGATCCACCACCATTTTTTAATTCAAATTCCAAATAATGCAACTTCTATATTTAATTTGTTTGATAAGTGTCTCATGTTATATTGGCTATCACGTACACACGTATTACACGTCTGATAATAATATGGTGCGATTTTGTGAATGATGTCAAATGTTTACAAATTGCAAGAAGACTTTAGATAGACGGTGGATAAGAGTTTTTGACTTCAATGGCTAACGTTCAATTAAATTTTTGATAGGGCTTTTCATAAAATTAATGCGTGGCTTAGAAGTGTTTCACAGTTAGCACTTCCGCTCTTCGAATGAAATCGGAACATAAACCACCATAAAGAGAAGAAACTCGAACATGCATTTAGCACAGCTATATATATATATATATACTTATATATATTCGAGTATAACGATTGCAAGGTAAGATCATAATTATACAGTGCGCACATAACATTACATTGCTTTTCATATCGGTCAACAAATACTACATACTCATGTATATATATAATATACTAATAGGTAAACTGGAGTGCAAAATACGACTTGCTATTTTATTGTTTTTGAATTGTGGCTAATGAAAAACCACAATTACGTGCACACTTCATCCACAAACAATGATCATATTTGTGTATCAATTTACTCTTTATTTTTCTATTAGAAATTCGTAATTATTTATTGCGTTTCGCTATCATTATCTCTGTTATTATTATTATTTTGCATTGAAATTCTTCGCCGACTACTTGACAATGCAAATTATATTATTTTTTTTATTGTTATTCAATGTTGTTGTTTTTGTGGTATGCAAATGATGTTGTCCTTATATTATAGACGGCATCTGATTTACGCCAGTAAATCTACTCAAAATGCATTGAAATCATGACATAATATTATTTCTATTTCATTAAAATATCATAGACATACGAATACATGCTTATGCACATAAAGTAGAACACTAGTCAAAAAAATCTCCAGTTTACAACTAGAAACTTCATATTCATATTAGCTATATGACATTTTACAATACTTTATTCCATCCATAATCTATTAAAAATATTTGAGATGATATGAAATTGATATATTTTATTTCTGACCAAAATCCGGCAAGATTAAAAAAATGCAATTACTTTTATGGAAAAAAGAAAGTACTTTGACTAGTAGTAAAGTGCTTTATAACTAGTTGTTTTCAATACATTGTACCTATTGTGTATTGAGGGGTTCTCTCATTTCATTTTTGATTTGCAATTACTTAGTCTGATAGACAAAGTTTTCTCAGGGAAGTAATTTAAACCGCTACGTGTCTTTTATATATGTATATGGTATTGTATGTTATAGACTTAAACATTGAAAAAAAAATTAATTGGAAGTTCGAAAATATTTACATTAGGTATTTGGGGGCTAAAGGAAGTATTGACCCGATATTTACCATTTTTGACACACAGCCATGCTATTATCACAAAAATGTTCCCCCTGAACTTCAATACTATAATTCATAAACTGACCGATATGTTCGGTAAAACATCAGCCATATACACAGGTGTCCACATATTTGGTGTCTGAGTCCTTGAAAAGTTGTAGTCCGATTTCAACAATTTTTGGGCGTTAGATTAAATACCTTGAGGACACTATTTATGCAAAACTAATAACTGCATTGATTTTTGATTTGTACTAAATGTGAAAGAATCATAGGAATTTAAAAATTTGTTGTATAAAAAGTAGGCGTTAATGTAAACCGATGTCGCCCATTTTCACAGTGTATGATAAAAATTATTAGGTAACCCAAACACCAAATTTCGTTGAAAATGGTCCAGTAGTTCCTGAGGTATAGGATGCCACCTAAAAGTGGGCGGTGCCAGGCCCATTGTCCAATTTTTACACCGGCTCCCATTAAGCCCTTCCTGTCATCCTGGCTGTGAAATTTAATGCTTGTGACTCTTTTATCCAGAGTGACAATTTAGACCTAATAAATATCAAGGGTTTGGTAACTCAATGTGTATACAAGTAGTGTACAATAGAGAAAAAGCTTTGACTTTCAAATAACAACATTTTCATTAACAATTATGCTATGTAAACCACATCCATAAATATAGGTTGGTACAACTTACAATTATGGCCAGATAGTAACGGTAGTCATATGGCAGTGGCCCATCGCCATCCATAATGAAGTTTTGTGTTCGTAGAAAATGATCGAGGAAACGCGGATGATAATTAATCACCTGCGTGACCTGATCCAACTCCAGATCTTCCATATTGTAATCTTGATTAGAACACTGAAATTGTCAACAGAAAATAACCATTAAGTATTATGTAATGAAAATAATGAACTTAATTAAGAAATAATCAAAATTAATATAAATTAATAGGTAATTGATACTTATACTTCCATTGACTGATATAAAAATGAAAATCTTAATCTTATATATATGAGAGATTTGGGTAATATTGACCCGATTTTATCTATTTTTGGCAATACAACATACTATTAACAGAATTAATACTCTTTGAGTTTCATGAAGGTACCTTACATACCATCCCCAACATATGTGGAGTAAAATCAACCGGATGTTTGAAAATTCTGTGATTTGTTATATGAGGGCTAGGGCAAGTTTTAACCCGATTTTACTCAGTTTAGGCACATAGATGAAGTACATCCACTTAATTCTATTGATATAGCTCACATATTAGCCGATATATACGGTATGATGTATGTATTTCGATAAGGTGTATGGGGACTAGAAAAGTATTGACCCGATTCAATCCATTTCTGACATACTTGCATACTATTATCAGAAAGAGAGTCTCTCCGAATTGCAAAGATTGGCCGTTACTTTCGGTAAAAAGTTAGCACCAGACACTGGGGTCGCCATATTTCATAACTGGGGGATTGACCAGTAGTGGTCCGATGTCGTCACATTTTTGGACTTCAGATGGTATACTTCAAAAGCACTGTTTGTGCAAAGTCTTGTGCTAATATATACTTTGGTGCTTAATTTGTATACGGGAAAGTTTAAGAATCATATGAAATTTAAATAGGTGCTAAACAGAAAGTAGCCATCGTTGTAGTCCGTTTTCTGATCATTTTCTCATTGGTAGATGGGATTTTTAAATACTTTTATGTGCCAATTTGGTTGAAATTTATCAAGTAGTTCCGTAGATACATGATTTCGCCTAAATGTTGGCTGTGAAACGATCATTTATATCTATGTCGGTACACAACCGTTAGGTGAACAAAACTATTATATTATACTCTATAGCAACATGTTGCACTGCTAACTATCACTAGCTAGTCAAGTTTCTACCGAAAAACTAGCAGAAGAATGCACAAGTTGAGAGCGAAAGAAGCTGACAGATAGTAGTATGAACAAACAACTGTTAAAACACATGTATATACCAGCGATATTTCACGCATTTGATATGATTTTTTTTATGGTATTTTTATTGTTTTGAATTATGAAAGTAAAAATTCTATTGATATTTAAATTTTCAAGTGTTGATATGAAGTGATTTTTAGAAACAACATTTTGATATTTTCTTAGTTTTCCGTTTCTTTAATTTTTCGTTATTTCGCTCTTTGTGAGAGAAATTTAGAATCTTCTTCTTCCTGATAGCTAGAAGCTGCGAGTTGTTAAGATACAAACGTAATAATTATTATAATTTTAAGTAAAATGCCAATGATTTTCCATTGACATTGTAACAATCACTTTCAAAACTAAACCTAAAGAACAACCCCCATTTAATGTATACCATATTCACAGCAACGCGTGGCCGGATCTACAAGGAAATATTTAAAAAAGAGCAAGGTCCTCTGCAATCAATCTGCTCCATATATAATAATTCGTACATCCAAATAACTCATAGACACAAATTATGTTAAAAAACTCTTATTTTACGGTTAAAGGGGAGAAAATAGTGATATCTAAAGCTCTACATTCAAAAAAATTTGAGATTTGAGAAACATTATCTACAACTAGAAACAAGGAAAACCGGTTACTTCGGCTGCACCGAAGCTATAATATCCTCTCAAGTCCATTTCTGATATAATAAAAGTTTAAAAAAACATCTTTATCTCGATTTTGATCGGTATCTTGATTTTTTCGGAGATTATAGCGATGTATCAAGCAATAATCTGTGCCGAATTTCGTTAAAATAATTTGTTAATTAAAAAAGTTTGCTATAAAAGAACTTGATTTTGATTTATCAGTTTATATGGCACCTATGTATATGCTGTAATAGCCCGATAACGGCGAAACTAATTGAATATACATACATATGTGTTAATATGCATTTCAGCATTCTAGTCTTTGACACTGAAGTGCTGCTTGTCGCCATTGATTTTTCTAAATTTGTTCATTGCTTTAGATCAGCGTATGTGCTTCATCATCATTTGCCTAAAACTTAAGAATATATTTTTAAGCACCAAGCATTAATTATATTGTATTATAAGCATTAATTATGTTGTAATACTTGTATTATGTTATTTGCTAGTATTTAGCACGATTCGAATTTGTCAACGAAGCTGAATGGCAAGCGGCGTGCTACTCAGAACAGATTTCTTTAAAACTGTTATAACTGAACCGACTTCATCATCTTCAACATTGTTTTCGCTACTGTTTACTATTGGTTAATAATTAATTATAGTTTCGGCTGTTAAATATTCATTGCCGACTTAAATGGCGCCAATGCTGATGAGCTTCTCTTTACAACAAATATTTCCACATTCACAAACTTAAATTTGTACAATAGTCAGTCAGCATGGCGTATGATTAATTTGCTCTTGAAAAATTTTAGGTACTAAGTCAAATAAAACCAATTTGTCTCAAACTGTTCTACTCTCGTCAGTGTGAATATTCAGTTGTTACTACATTGTAACAGAAAATCGAGGGCATCCCTAAGAGCAATTATGAATACCAAATTATAATTATAAAAAAAGTATTTATTGGAAATAGTTAAGACCAGAAAAGAGTCAATTAGAAGTACAAAGATCTTACAAAAAGGAAATAAATCAACAGAAAGTTAGGAAGCAGTAGTAACAGACGGTGCTGAAACAATATCCACAACATGTCGATCTATCCTCTAAATATAATCCAGCGATGTGTTCAAAAAACCGTGCATTTAATCACTAAACAAATAAACTGTAAATAATAGAATAAAAGGCATTTACATATATTATTATTAATAACTAGAAATTTTACGACTTCAACCTATTTTACCCTGTTCAAATTACCAGCCAGGCGATAGACGGTAATAATATGCATGTGTAGAAATGCGTTAAACAATACACATGCTTCATATGTACATATTAAAGTATTCACTCGAGCATATAATAAATATGTGCAGCACTAATAATATAAACTATTAAGTTAAAAAACACTTTTCATATTCATAAACAGTGTAAACGCGACAAGTTTTCAATTAACGTTTAACAGCTTGCACGCCTGAGCGTTTTGACTGAGGCGGGACAAACTTCACTGTTGAACTATGTATGTTACTGACTCGGCGAAAATTTGCATATTTGTACAATTTGAGACGAACGAATATAGTCACCCGCTTGCACACATACTTTTGTATACACGTACGGTTAATGGATACACTTGCACACATACACAATTGAAGATAGATGGGTGATGGTCAACTTATTAAACGAGCCGAATATTCGCCTCTTATTTCAGATTGTTGTTATTGCCTCTTCCATGGAAGACTATGGTTTGAGTATATTTACTGGTTTCTTTATTTGTGTTCGAAAATAAAAAAAAATCTAGTCTACGCGCTGGCGCAAACAAGAATGTGAATTGTAAAACTTATGATAATTTTGAGTCTATCAAATACGGCAATATTTGGTCGGCGTTTAAGGTCACAAACATATAGCTAATGGCAGCAAGTAAAAAGATAAACAACCTAACAAAAATGGGAAAATTATATACCATGCGTATAGAGCATTCACACACATACATACATGTGTTAATACCTACAATAAGCACTATGTGTGCGTACGTGCCGTGTTTGGAAAAAACTGTATGCCTTTATTGCTTTTATTTTTTTTATGTGTGCTCGCAACTCAGCATTAAGTAAACGCTCTGTTAACAATAAACCACAACAGTTTTCAAAACTGACATACGTTGTTGTTATATTGAACATCTAACTGCCGTCCCTAAATAAAAGCGGCAGCGGCAAATTACTGTCAAAAATTCCTCATGCCCATAGGTTTTGTATGGCGCATACCTAAATAAACACGACGCAACGTTAAGCGTTGAAAAATACGATTTTGACAGCGCGTTAAAAAGTTAGAGTTGGTAAATATTATTAATAAATTAATTCGTTGTATCTTTCATTTCTTTTGTACTAATTTTAGAATTCAAGTGAGAATTTGACGGAAAATTGCCATTTTATATAGGGAAACTGCTTCGACGTTAACGCTGAGCGATAAAAAACGCGCCGCTCAACGCATTTATTTTGGTACGCCAGTTAATGAGGAAAGTCATAGGCAAATAGAGTAATTATTTTAAATTGTCTGTCTCGAGCAAATTACCGATGGTGCGATCTTTTTCGATTCCGCGAAGTAATGTTTGAACGACTTTCTCAAGACTGGATAAAAAGACTAAGATACAATGATAAACCTGTACCTAACATTCACGTATATAATAATACAATTTTGAAGACCAAACTTATAGCCAATGAGCTTCAAACAAAAATTACTTATAACCGCATATATTTATGCTACAGTTTTTGTAGTTTATTTACCAACTAAGATTTCATAAGATAAGAAATAGCAGTCAATGTTATTATTGTTATAAAAAAGTTGAAAAAAGTGTTGGGCATTTTGTTAAAATACATAATTACAAGAGTTCTCTGTACAGATCTACAATATTTCAAAATTTTATCCAAGTCTGTGCTCGTAATAAATTAAATAAAACATATTTCAAACGTATCTTCTTATTATGAAAAATGGAAAGATTCATTTGTTAAATAAAATAAGGAATATTTCAAGGATCTTTCTAAATATTCTACGTATACCATACTTCCGATCTCTTCATCCAATACACAATACAAATTTCATATACATATAAGAAATTATATGGTTGGGTACTAAATTTTTTGACAAATATTTATTTCACGAGCTTATGAGCATGTCACGTCTCATTTTAAACGTTTAAATTGACATTAGAATTCAAGGGAGCATGATAGTATAGAAATGCTTATGCATGTACTACTTATGTATGAACTGGTTAATTTTGTAGTATTGAACTTGTTCAAAATACTTCAAACCAAGTTT